CCACCTTGGGTGTATGTGGCTGGCCCCTTAGCCGCTTGAGCCACAGGCACCGAGCCCCAAAGTTAGTTTCTAAGAATCCTTTTACTTCTAGGATCCAAAATTTTATTATCAATATTTAAAATTTTTGGCTGGGCACAGTGGCTCATGCTTGTACTCTTAGCACTCTAGGAGGCCAAGGTGGGTGGATTGCTTGAGCTCATGAGTTCAAGACCAGCCTGAGCAAAAAGCAAGACCCTATCTCTACTAAAAGTAGAAAAAAGCTGAGACAAGAGGATTGTCTGAGCCCAAGAGTTGAAGGTCACTCTGAGCTGTGACACCACGGCACTCTACCCAGGGTGACAGCTTGAAACTCTGTCTCAAAAAGAAAAGAAATTTAAACTTGTTTTTACCTTGAGGATTATGCATTTAAAAAAACTCCTCTAATATAGTTTGGGGGTTTCAAAGAGGAACAGAGATAAGACACATGTTGTAAGTCCACAATCTTTTTTTCACTTTTAGGCTAGTCCAGTGAAGCAGTGGGCGTGGAGGAAGAACAAAGGAATCCGAACTGGTTGTGATCAGTTACAAACACCACTGCACTCCACCCAGCCCAGTCTATAGTCTTCAGGTGGAGGTCTAAACTAAGACTTGAAGTATGAACAGATACATCTGCCAGGCAGGGTGAATAATGAACAAAAGCAAAGTATACAAACAAGCTGGACTGTTTAAGGTAATTCAGTAAAGCTGTGTGACTAAGCAGATGCACTGTATAGGTAGCTCTAAGAGCTCAAGCTAATTCAGAGCAGAAGAAATTTACAGGCCAAACTAAAACTTAAAACAGTTACTAATGCTAAGCTTTAGCTATAAAACATTTACCTAACTATGTCAAGAACACCAGGATACAAAGACAGTTATTTCATGAAGGGATATTCCTTAGTATATATAGTATATGTAGGATATATATCCCTTATATATATATATATATATAAGGGATAGTTCTTAGTAAAATATGTTTAAGAAACATTAAACAAATTAAAACACATTTATTTCCTACAGATTATTACTAAGCATTTAATATAGTAAAATAAATTGTCATTTTCAAGAAAGGCAGTTTGGATGTCTCCCAAAGCTGTGTGACCATGGGAAGATGGTGATGGACGGTTTCCCCACCTGACTCCTTACCTTGCTGCCTGGTGTCCTGCTGGGGGAGCTACAAACATTCTCCAGGAGCCCCAGACTGCCTTGCGCATCAGTGTAAGATATTTGCCTGCGAGTAGGATGCCAGGCCAGGCCACAAATTGCATAACCTTTCTCATGCTTCACTCTAAAAATTAAAAAGTCGGTTCTTAAAATACTGTCAAGAAAAATACAAAGTGTATATTCCTTTAGGTAAATTTTTATTAGAAAAGGTTAAATGACTTTTGACAATCTAATAGCCATGTATTTTTATTCCGACAATCTAATAATTGCAAATTTAAAATGTTTCATAGTAAAATGAGAAAAACCTAATAAAAACAAGCAAAGATGAGACAAAAGATATACTGAAACATACCTTTCCATGCAGTCTTTGGTTTCAATATTCCATACTAAAATTAAGCCATTAATACTACCTGCAGCTAAATATTGCCCACAGGGAGACCAGGTAACTATATTGAGGGTCTAAAAGAAAAACAATTAACAAATAATAATTTGGCATAATTTGAAATGAAATATTTCTTTTATTACCAAATTCAAATTTTTATGTCCTTATTTTACGGTATTTCTAATTACATGATACACAAATGACAAGACAAAGTTAAACTCTTAGCTTTGAACTTACTTTTTCTAATAATATTTAAGTATCACTGGCACCTATTTCTTTGTTTATTATAAGAATATTATACTGGCACAATTTTTTTTTTCTTTTTGGTGACAGGGTCTCACTCTGTTGTCAGGCTACAGTGTAGTGGTATAATCAGAGCTCACTGCAACCTCAAACTCCTGGGCTCAGGCTCAACTGATCCTCCTGCCACAGCCTCCTGAGTAGCTGGGACTACAGACACAAATTGCTAAGCACAGCTAACTTTTAAATGTTCTGTAGAGATAGTGTCTCACTATATTGCTAAGGCTGATCTTGAACTCGTAGTCTCAAGTGATGCTCCTGTCCTCCCAAAATGCAGGATTATAGGTGTTAAGCACTGCACTTGACCCTGGCACAATTTTAAAAGCAAAATCTAACAGACTTTATTAACCAAGGAAGAAAGCCAATACAGGCTCAGCGCCTATAGCTCAACCGGCTAAGGCGCCAGCCACGTACACCTAAGGTGGCGGGTTCAAATCCCCAGCCCGGACCCGCCAAACAACAATGAT